CTCACCTTCTCTCCTCCAGACATGGTTCTGCTCAGTGTTTGTTCCATCTGACCAGAACTTTCCTCCAGAAGGACTTTTCTTTGTCCATGTGACCAGCAGCAGACTTCAGTGGAGCTTTAAGGTTCTGCTTGTAGAGGAAGAACTTCCTTCTCCATCAGCCTCTTAGCTCAACATCTATCTATTGCTGTCATTTGTGGTCTTTTTTTGTTCTTTCCCGTCTCTTTGTCGTCGTTTTCCTTTTCTTTTAGATGTTTTTTGTCACTTTTATGTCATTTTTGGGACATTTTTGGATCTTATTTTAGTCATTTGCTGAAGTTTTGATCATCTTGTGTTTGATTCTGGTCATTTGTTTTTGATGCTTTATGTTTTTTTAATATTTTCTGTCTTTTTGTGTCTCATTTTGGTCATTTGTTTTCCTTTTGTGAATCACATTTGTTATTTTGCATCTTAATTCGGTCCTTTCCCATCTCTTTGTTGTGGTTTTCCATTTCTTTAGGATGTTCTTTATCACTTTGTGGTCATTTTTTGGATGTTTAACGCCTCATTTTGCTCATTTCCTGTCATTTTATCGTCGATCTAAATGTGTAGCAGTTTGTGTTTTGGATTTTTGCCTTTTGTTTTTGTCCTTGTGGGATTATTTCATGTATTTTTTCCCCCTCTTTGACTTTATTGCTTATTTTTTTCTGCAGCACATCACCAGCCAGTGTTTCATGGTTCCACCCTGTGAACATATAGGCTGTGATTTATTAAACGCTCGTTATTCTGTGTCGCACATGTGTTCAGGGTGAAAACTCATTCATTGAAATGTCTCACATTGACATTTGCAGAAACAAACAGATGTTTTGCTGAAACAAGCCGTTAAACTTTGGAAACCAGTGAGTTTGTTCTAATAAACTTACAGATAAATGACGTGAAAAGGTGAAAAATGCACATTTAAAGACAAAACTAAAGAGGGCAGAGGATTAAAGATGTGTCCTGATGAAACAGTGATAATATTAGATGTTGATTTGTCACCTGGTTCCTGATTTTAGTGTTTTATTTTACATACATACAGATAGATTGATGTTTAAATTCCTCCAGAGTGCAGGAGTTCAGGTGTTGACGTGAACACCTCCTGAGGGAAGACGCTCAGTCTCCGGCTTAATGTCTGAATTAAACATTCTCCCCTGAGTCCGGTTCAGCAGCCGTTACCTCTGGTCGTCTGCAGCGGTGCATGCTGGGAGCTGCAGGTCATCCAGGTGCTGCCTAATGCGAGCGGTCAGGCTGCAGCCGGAGGAGCGGCGCTGCTCGGACAGCCGGACCGTGATGCTTCTCTGCAGGGGCAGCTTCAGACCAAACACGTCCACCTGCATCCAGTCAGCCTGCAGAGCCCAGCTCACCTGAGGAGGGTCGAGGTCACGGCGGAGAAACGAGCCGCTGCCCGGAGGTCGACCGGCAGAGAGCTGGAGACGTAGACGGAGAAGATGGCATCATTTATCTGCTCTCAGAGGTCGTTAGAGGAGGAGCTGCAGGTTCGTCCTGCAGGTGGCGCTGCAGGAAAGGTCAGGAAACACTCTGTAGCTCCATCACCTGGGAGCAGGAACGGAGGCTGAACCATCAGCGTTCCTCTTTTTATGATAAATTCTGCTCATTTAAAACGGTGTCGAGGAAAAGATTCATCAAATACTGTCGACCCACATTCAGCAGAAACCCGAGTCTGTTTGAACATCTGAGGAACGATTAAAGAGAAAAACCTGAAACGTTTTCTGTTCTCTCATCATGTCACTGATCCAGAGTCTGTGATATTAGACAGTAGATCAGATAATCTGTGATTTATGGGGGAGTTGAAATATGACGGGAAATCATTAAAAGTTCCTTTTTTGAGCTCATAAACAATGAAACTGATAAAGCAGAAGTCAGCTGGTGATGATTCCTGAACCACACGAGCTGCAGGTGGTGACTTTTGTTTTTTTTTCTTTTACCATTCCAACTCCCCTATAACCAGAGATTATTGATCTACTGTCCAAAATGACAGATTCTGGATCAGTGACATGATGAGAAATAATAGAGAAAGTTTCAGGTTTTTATCTTTAATAGTTCCTCAGATTGTTCAAACTGAATCAGATTTAATGTGAGAAACAACCTGCTGGTCGACGGGAGATTAAAACAAATATCTTCATAAAAATCAACATTTCATGCTGTAAATTTTTCAGGCACATCAGAGATGGTCGAGCAGAAACTCTTCTAAAATTGTGATGCTTTGGTTTGAATGTGAAACGTGATCTAACGTCGACTCCATCAGCGGCTCTCAGCACATCCTGAAGGATTCAGCTCTGGTCAGCAGGACTAAATAATAGCTGCACCGCAAATTCACAGAGCTGTTTGGGTCATAACGAAGTGTTAAACATAGAATATAAACTGTATTTGCTATCATGAGGAGGACCTGGTTCTGACCTGGAGGTTTCTCTGTGACTCACAGCTCAGCAGCACCACCTGCTGGACGAACGCATCACTGCTGCTGGTCTTTGTCCTCCAGAGGGAAGAACATCAGACGGTTCTGTGACTGTACGGAGTTAATTAAAAATGAATTAAATACGAAATAACAATAAATCATGAGCTGGACTAATAAAGAACAAAAGCATCCAGAAACACTGGTCTGATGAAACCACTGGATGGAGTTTAAGGCAGCTTCAGTGTTCAACAACAAGATGTCACATCACATGTCGATTGTTTTCTCCTGTGTTCTTCTTCTAAGTTAACATCCATCCATTTTCTATACACCGCTTAATCCTCATTAGGGTCGCGGGGGGCTGGAGCCTGTCCCAGCCGACTTAGGGTGAAGGCAGGTTCACCTGGACAGGTTAAGTTAACATTCAAACCTAAATAAAGAAATACAACGAAAAAAAGATGAAGAACCTAAATAAAGGAGATTCTTATTAATCATGGAAAATACACAACATGAACTAATTTGGTAAGAATACAGTGTGACATAGAGTCTTGGTGGCCTCCTTCACTAGTCTCCTTCTAGTACCTCTAGTACCTCCTTCAGAGGAGTCATAGGTGACTCCTTTCCATCTATGTGGCTCCTGTGGCTTTTCTAGATTGATAAC